TCTGGTCAACAGTAGGCTAGTAAGTTTTTGGGTAGTCAAAAATTATACATGGATTTTTGACTGCATGGGAGTGCTGGAGGCCCTAACCCCTGTATTGTTCAAGGGTCAACTGTACTAGAACTGAACAATTGGTAATATTTTTTATATTTCACCAATTTCATAGGTGAAAATTGGCTTTGAACTATTTGTGCTTTTTTTAATCAATAGTGAAATTAAGCCATATTTCTTTTATTTATTGGCTATTTGTATTTATTCTTTTATGAATTGCCTATTAATGTTTTTTTTGGTTATTTTTCTATTTCCCATATCTGGCAGAAGAAAATAACAACTTTACCTGCTAGAAGCAATTGAAGACAGTGTTCAGGTCTGGCAGAGCAGCTGGAAATTTAGGGAGAAAATCTTGGATGTAAGAGAGCTTCAGCAGACATAAAACCTAAAGTCTGATTATGACTCTGCCAAAATTTCTGGGTAACTGCATAGGATGGTAGGAAAGGGGCACTCTAGGGGACCTATTAAAAAAGCAGACAAACTAGTGAAGAGTCCATCCCTGAAAGAGAAAATTATGCTGAATAATATTTGCAAGTTCACTGTCATTTTTTTTTTTTTTGGTGCTCTCCGAAACCTGAAAAGTTGGAGCTTTACTGGGTTGAAGTGTCGAAGCAAAGGGCTCAGGAAATGTAGGGAGACCTTAAGGGGAACAGATCCTAAAATCTCAGTACAAACTGTATAATTTGTTGGTCCACTGCTTAACTCCCAGTGGACCAGGCTAGAAAAGCAGCAACTGAAAGTTGAAAAAAACTGAGGAGAGATAGCACACTGCTGGGAAGAGTTTGTAGTTTGAGTCCAGGAATGTTCACTGCATGCTAGAATGTAAAAAGGACAATAATTCTTGGAAGAATAAAACAAACTAGAATCAATAAAGTATTATCTACAATGTTTAGTTTCTAATAAAATATTGTCAGACATGTAACAAAACAAGAGAGTTTGTATCACTCATATTCAAGAAAAAAGTCAGCTATAATAACAGTCTCAGGTGGGCCCTGGGAAGGAGCAAGACCCCATGCAGACCAATATTTCAAACAGCAATGATAAATATGCTCAACAAAGTAGAGGAAACCAGTCTCAGTGACAGAACAGATAGGGAATCTGGAGGAACTGAAACTGTAAAAAATACAAATGAAAATTCTAGAGCTGAGAAATACAATAATAGAAAAAAAATTCAGAAGATAAGCACAATAGCAAACTGAAAATGACAGAAGAAAGAATCAGTGAGCTTACTAATACAGCAATGGAAGTGATCTAATTTGAACCACCATAAACGAAAACTGAACAAGACCTTAAAGACCTGTGAGATAATACTAAGATGTCCAACATATGTGTAATTGGAGTAGAGAGGAAAAGTAGAGAATGAAGGAATACAAGGAAAGTAGAAATGAAGTTTAAAATTTTTGAACAAAATAGTGGTTAAAAATAATCCAAAACTGATAAAAACATTAACTTATAGATTCAAGAAATTCAATGAGCTGCAAGCTGAAAAGATATGAAGAAAACCACACTTAGGTGTATCAGTCAAACTACTGAAAATCAGAACTATCCAATATACAAAGGAATCATTTTGTGGCATGTGTGAGATTGAGATTATACATATACACCTAAATTATCTCAATTAAAATATCTCAATGCAAACATAGGAGAGAAATAAAGATAAGACCAGAAATCAATGAAGTAGGAGAATGGGCAGAGAAGTATATGAAAAAATACCTGGTTTTTAAAAATTTTGTTAGGTTGATAAATCTCTAGCTAAACTAATCAGGGAAAGAAAAGATAAATTATGAATTAAAGAATGAAAAACTGAACATAATTAGAGATTCTAAGACATGAAAAGATGGTGGAAGATTACTATGAACAACTGTGCCGATGAACTTGACAATTTAATTGAGATGAATGACATCAAAGACAAATTATAAAAATATACTCAAAAAATAAAACCTGGATAGCACAATAGCAATTAAGGAAATTGAATTTGTAACTATAAACCTCAAAAGTAAAATACATGCCTTTATTGGTGACTTCTATCCAACATTAAAGAAGAAGAATATCAATTCTACACAAACTCTTCCAGAAATTAGAAGAGCAAACATTTCCCAAATTATTTTGTGCAGCCAGTATTATTACTCTGATACCAGAATTAGACAAAGACATTACAAGAAAAGAAAACCACAAACCAATATTTCTCAAGAACACAGATGTAAAAACCCTCAATGGGAATTTAGGATTGTTTGAACATTGAAAAAGCAATGTGATCTACCATAAAACAGAATAAAGAAGAAAACACCATATGGTCACCTCAAGAGAGAGAGAAAAAATACTTGAAAACATTTTACAAAAAATTCATGATGACAGGGAACTTTATTAACTTGATAAAAGGCTTATACACATCATATTTAGTGTTGAAAAACTGAATGCTTTCTCCCTAAAATTGAGGGGCAAGGATGTCCCCTCTCATCACTTCAGTTTAGCATCACAGTGGAGGTTTTAGCCATTGCTATCAAGTCAGAAAAAGAGGCATATGGATTGAAGAGGAAGAAGAGAAACTTTTTATTTGTAGATGACATTATAGCATATGTAGAAAATCTTAGGGGTTCTACAAAAAAGCTATTAAGACTAATAAGTGAGATGAGCAAGGTCTCAGGATCCAAAATTATACAAAAATCAGTTTAATTTCTATATACTAGTAAAAAAAACCCATTCCATTTATAATGTCCAAATATGAAATACTTAATGATAAATTAATAAAATATGCATAAAACCTATACAAGAATACTAATATATTATAGAGAGAAATTAAGGAAGACCTAAATAAAGAGATATGTCACATTCACATATTAGAAGGCTTAATATTAAAGTGTCAAATCCCTCCAGATTGACCTACCAACTTAATACAAACTCAGTTAATATCCTAATTTTTTGAGAAATTGACAAGCTCATTCTAAATCCTATGTGAAAATGCAAAGGGCCTGGAATAGCCAAAATAACTTTGAATGAACAAAGATGGAAAATTTATGTTACCTTACTTAAAGATTACAATAAAGGTTATGAAAAAATTGTTTTGGCTCTTACAGGTTTTATATAGTTAAACATATGCTTACCATGTGACTCATCAAATCTCCTCTTGGTTATTTATTCAAGAGAAATGAAAACATGTGTTCATGCTAAGATTCATACTCAAATGTTCATAACAGAACATAATACCAAGAGCTGAAAACAATCCTGAAGTCAATTTTTTGGTGAAAGGATTAATTGTAGTATATCATATAATGGAATATACTCAGTGATAAAAGTAACCAACTACTGATACATGCAATAACATGGGTGAATCTCAAGAACATAATGCTAAATTAAAGAAGTCAGGCAAAACAATAAGATTCTATTTACATGCAATTCTAGAACAGTTAAAACTAACTTATTGAGACAGAAAGCTCAGGTTGAGCTAGGGCTGGGAGTTAATTACAAATGGGCATGAGGGAGTTTTTGGGGTGACAAGTGTTCTGTGTTTTTATTAGAGTGATGATTATACAGTAGTATCCATTTGTTGAAACCTGTGTAACTGTACACTTAAAATTGGTGCATTTTATTGTATGTAAATCATATATCAAAGTTGATTTAAAAACCTTTAATGAATTCCTATTGGTATTAGGATAAATCCAATAAGGAAAGAAGGTCCTGTAACATCTAACCCTACTTACTGCTTGAACTTTATCTTGAGCCAGTCTCTGGCTTTCTCTCTGCTCCAGCCATGTTGGGCTTCTGTCATTCATTACAGCACATGCTCTTCCTGAGCACTGGACCTTTGAGGCTTTTCTCTCCTCAACTATTCTCTTTCCCTTAACTCTTTTTCATCCTTTAGTTCTTTCTCAAGAAATCCATCTCCAAAATCTTGGATTTAGATAAGACCCCTCGTACCACTACTTTTTCAGTACCCTTTGTATAATAATAATTACTTTGTTATTGAAAATCAAGTATGAAGTATGTTTTCTCCACTAGATTAGAAGCCCCAGGAAACCAGGAATATCTATTATGCTCACCCAAACTCCTCCCAGCACCTGAAAATGTAGGAAATCCTCATATATTTGCTGATAAACTAAGCACATAAAAATTTAGTAAGAAATGTAAAAATCTTATATAAAATATTAGCATATTGAATTTATCAATATATTCTTTAAAATACATGATGTTAAAGTGGGGTTTATTTTAGGAAATAAAGGGTAGTTTAGCATTCAAAAGTGTATTGTGCGATTGTTCATTAATATATCAAAGGAGATCAATTATCTCCACAGATGGGAAAAGGAATTAGATAAAATTCAACACATCTCCCCGTTTAAAGAAATACCTTAAAAAAAAAAAAGAAATACCTTTTAGTGAACTAAAAAAAAAAAGATTCTGTAGTGTGATAAATATTTAAAACAAACAGTGTACCTAATGGTGAAAGCCTGGAGACAAGGATACCCATTATTAGAAGGTAACATTATTCTAGGAACATTAGCCAATGAAATAAGGCCAGAAAAAAAAATCAGAAAAATGACATGATTATATATAGATTATACCTGTCTATCTGAAAAATATAAGATAAGTAAGTGAAAAATGTTAGTGGGCAAATTCAGTAAAATGGCTAGTAACAAAATCATGAACACAGATTCTAAAAACAATGTATTTAAAACAATGTAGTATTGTCATAAGAATAGATTAGAAAATACAGAAAGAGATTAAAAAATTCTGCCATATAGGAAATTAATATGGACCTGACTATTGGAGAAGCATGAATAATTTAACTAGGTGTATTGGAACATTACAGACAAATAGATTCCAACATGAAACTGCTAATTGAAATATTTCATAATTTAATATTTCATTTTATACCTATTCTTAAGGGAGATATTAGCTGTTTTCTTTTCATGGTTTCCATTCTGCTCTACACCCTGACTCCCCCAAGCAGGCCTTACCGGCATGGTGATTTGGATGGGTTGTCGTTCTCCACTCTTGGTTGGGGCCACACCTTCGGTGTCATACGTGCCAGTATAAACAATTCTGTCTCCATCAGGCTCTTTAGACTTCAGCTCCAGTGGGACAAGCACACCACCAATGGAAATGTTCCTGCAATGGACTTGAGTTGACCAAATATGGTAGGAATTAGCTTAGGAACCCTGTTCTAGTCTGGACCACAATCCTAGGCAGGAATGCTGCAGGGTTTGGCTGAAGGAGATGTGGTGTGGTAGAAAGCTCTGAAAGTTCAGGAGGCTTGAGTTCTCCATTAACCAGTCATATGACCCTGGACCAACTACTTAATCTCTCTGGACTAACCACGGTATTCTCATCCAGAATAGTTAAAGCATGTCAAACTCTGCCCTGCTCTTTAACTGCCCTGCTAGTTTCTCAGCTGTGGAGCAATTAAAAAACTACCCAGTCCTATCCCAAACCCCAGAGATTAGGACTTAGTTGGTTTGGTTTGGGTACTAGTAAATTTATTTTAAGGTTCCCCAAGTGATTCTAATAGGCAGGTAGGGTTGAGAACCACTGAACTAGTCCTGTAATGATTTTTTTCTGTCCCAATAATCAGGAGTCCCATGATTTGGAGTATTATTCCTCAAGCCAACTACACCACCAGAAATTCTCACTGGCACCCTTCCTTTGTGTCAAAGTAATGGTCCTCAAAGGGCAGCATCTGAACCAGAAGTGTCAGTATCACTCGCCAACCAACTAGAAAGCAAAATTTTAAGCCCCACTCTAGACCTAGTAAACTAAAAACTCTAGGGTGAGCCTCAGCCATCTGTGTTTTAACAAACCCCTTAGGCGATTCTGATGTACACTCAAGTTTAAGAACCACTATATTAGGGCATTGAAAAACCTTAATAGAATAAAGTGTAACTAGAAAAAATCTTTTTGTCATTAACACAAATTCATTTTTAGATTATTTTGAAAAACAGAGAACTACCCTGAAGAAACTGACATACAGAACAGACAATATGGGAGAAGAGGTTGACAGGAAAGAAGGGAAAGGAGAAGTCAGGATCATATTTAGATGCCCAGCACACTGGGAAATGTGAAGGTAACCGGTGCATGGAACTGTGGGGGATGGTGACGAGCTGATGGACCAGGAGTACCAGAAACAAATCGGTTTGGTTCTAGGTCCTTGATTAAGGCTGGCATCTAAAAGTGTACCGAATTAATGACTAGAGATGGACATTTAAGCTATAAAAGGTGTCTGATGGATTCGAAGTCCCCCCTCCTCCCCCCAAAAGCTCATCATATGGTAAATATATGCTGGTTTATTTCCCCTTTCCACACTAGACTTCACACTATGCTTAGGTGGAAACTGAGAGGTAAAGAACTCCACCCTTAGATGTTCCCCATAAGCTACAGCACCCTTCCATACCGACTTTCCAGCTAGGGGTCTATGGCGTGCGTCAAGCTGTGGTAGCAGGGAAGAGATAATCCCCTCCACAAATCACAAAAAAAACATACCAGGCATCAGCACCAGGATGAACAGATAACTCGGCAGAAAAAGAAAAACACCAGGCATAGAAAAGAGAAGCAGAGGACGCAGCCTTCTGACTGTGGCCGTTTCTCAAGTCCAGGGTCCTCAGCCCCGTAAGGGCGTTTGGAGGAATAGGGAGCACCCCTCAAAAAGCCCCAATAACCACCCCACCCTTGACACCTCATTCCTCAGCTTTTCTCCCTCCTTCAGCCTCGCAGGCGGCAGGTCGCCAGGACCGGGGAGGAGAGGACTGGGATTGCGGGAGGTAAACCCCGCGGCGAGATTCTCCGGTCTGTGCCACCGTAGATGCCCAGAGGTCCGCGCGGATGGCTGGACAGAAGGGATGAGCAATTTACAAGAAAAGAAAACATCTCCCCCAAACCCTGGCTTCCTGTCGCTGTTTTAACATCCCTGTCCGCGATGGGAGGAGGGAAATGAGAATAGAGGAAAGACCAGAGTAAGGCAGAGGAGGGGATCAAGGGGAGCAGGAGCTGACCTCTTCCCCCCACCCTCCCTGGCCCGCGGGGACCGCGCAAGGTAAGAGGGGCCGGGGAGAGGCTCCCGCTGTCCCGAGGGCCTCGGTCCTCCGCGCGTAGCAGGTGGGGCAGCCGCGGCGCGGGCAGGTACTCACTCGACCTGCAGCGTGGTGGGCTTAATCTTCACCTCCACCTTGTAGGACGAGCCGGTGAGCAGCTTGATGGTGCGGTTCTGGCCAAAACGCTGCCCGTCCACCTTGAAGAAGACTGGGCCGTCGTTGGGCTGGATGCGCAGCGCGATGGAGAGGCGCACGAGGCCCGGCAGGTCCCCCATGGCTGGGCGCGGGCCGGGCGCGGCGGCTCCGGGGGGCAGAGGACAGCGCGGGCTGCGGCGGAGCAGCCGGAGCGCGGTGGGCGGAGAGGAAGAGCAGGAAGGGAGAGGGAGGCGGCGGAGGGGAGGCTGCCGCTAGGAACCCCTGCCGTCGCGGCCGTGCGCCGGGGCTGTGGAGGGGCAGCTGCTGAGGCTGTGGGCCCGCGCCCCAGTCGGCGAGGAAGCGCGCCGCAGAGACAGCGCCGAGGCCCCGGGCGGCCCCATCCCCCGCTCCCGGTGCTGCGCCCTCCGCGCACCCGCGGGCTCGCTGCGGTCCTTAGGCCGCTGGCAGATCGGCGCCGCTGGGGGCGAGGGAGTTAATCCTGTTTACGCACCGCAGGGCCCGTCAGCTAGCGGAGCGGACCTTCAGGCTCCTCCTAGAGCCGCGCGGGGGTGGGGCAGAGGAGAGGGCTGGGAGAGACCAGGGAGGCCCTGGGAAGGAGCAAGACCTCGGACTCTGGACACCACCTCGGCCAGTTAAGGGATGCGACACCTTTGCTCGCGGTTTGGGACCCAGCCAGGCAGGAGGAAGCAGAGGCGAAAGGGGCAGGAAACCGCTAGCCAGTGATTTAAATTTCAGGAAATATGAGTCTTGCCAAAGCTTAGGGGAAATGGCCGAGGAAAAGCGCAATTCCATGACCTTAAAATCACCCTGGATTAGGAATGTGTGAAAGACAAAAGAAAAATAAAATAACCCGTGTATTCAAGGTGCTACACTTACTTGTGGGTGCGTGTTTCCATCATGCATATCTTTGTCTTAAGAATGGCACCGTGTGATGCATCACATATATTTACACAGATCTTGAAGGATGAGCCATTAACCCTGTAAAAAGGAACTGGTATGTCTCTAGCATAGCTGGTGATAATGGCCAAGAGGAGGAATCAGTCACAAGATTATTGGCAGGGGACCACGTGCAACACCACAGTCTAGATCTGCATACTAAGCGTGATTAGGGGAGTCTTCTAGCAGAAGTCGGTTGACAACTTGTAATTCTGGAAACAAGAGGAGACCAAGGGTATGAGGGCCCTACTGAGAATGGCTTCAGATAGCAGAGAGTGAGCACCTGCTTCAGCACCACGCAGGTGGATAGTACCAGAGCCGGTACCTTACATTTACCTGGGGAACGGAGAAGCGGGTTAGCGAGGACAGGTGAGTAGGGACAGGACTGTTTGGTAGTTTTAGTTTACCCAGGTTAGTATTACCTTTCTTTAGAAATTGCATCATCTCGAAAGTGATTTGTTTTCCTACATTTTTCTACAAAAGTAAGTCAATTAAGTCTCATTTCAGAACTGTTTGCAATATTCCCTACACTACACTTGGAATAACATTAAATTCTGTAGGGCTGCAGAATTTTGTGTGATCGTTCACTTCTCTGACATTGGATAGATTTGCTGCCTGCACCATACTGAAATTAAATCTTATCCCTTAAAAAAACTGATATATATTCTTTTATTTAATATAATTTGGTTCCCCAGTAAAACTATGCAGCAGGAGCTTTGCTTCTTCAGATCACCCAATAATGTCTACCACAGTGCCTTCTACAAAGAGACTCTTCAAATATTTGCTGGTTTAACCAAGTCGCTTAGACTTCCCTTGAAGGGAGAAAGGGAGACTAGAGGGAATGGCTTGAAAATGTACCTGGCAGCTAAGGAAGTTTGTGTGGTGGTTAAGCCCAAAAGCACTACAATCAGACTTGTTAAAATCCCTGTTCTACCACTTTGCCAGCTGTGGGACACTGAGTAAGTTTCACAACCTCTTGGAAATGGTATTCTCATCTGTAAAATGGGTGCAGTAAAGTCGATGCTATGTCTCTGTTAGGGTTGTTGTGAGGATCCAATGAAATGATGCATATTCCAATGCCAAACTCTAATATTAGTCAGTATTATGAAGTGGAAATGCAAATGGTCAATAAACATATGTAATATGAATAAACAGTCTCAACCATTTCTAGTAGAAGAGACAGAGGAATATAAATTAAAACAATAATATCAAACTATTTTTGGCCAATCATCTTGGCAAAATTTTAAAAGACTTAAAATTCACTGTTGGTAAAGATGTAAGCAAATCAGCACTTTTATAAGCTGTTGGAAGCATATCATTGCTATAATATTTTATTAGAAGTTATCTGATGAATTTATTAAAAATTAAATAATATATATGTTAAACCATACGTGTGTGTATATATTGAGTCTTTACACATTAATCAGCAATCCTACTTTAAAAACCCTACCCTTCAGAAAAAAATAAAGCCATCATTACATTGAATATATGTAATATGGCTGTTGTTTATTGTAGCATTGATGATAAAAATCAAGTCAAAGCATTAATTGAATGTTAACCAATAAATAAATGGCTGGATAAATCCTCATATTCCCATGTAAAATATATGCCACTGTTAAAATAATAAACTATGTGTCATTTTGGTAAACACATGCTAAAACTGTTAATGATAAAGTTGGGTGGCCACACAGGGCAAACTGTGGAAGTTTGAGGGCAGGCAGTTTTGTCTGTTTCATTCCTTGCTGTATTCCCAGCTTGAACAGAACATTGCATGGCACATAGTAGGTGCTCCATAAATATTTTTTTAATTGAATTTCTGCCCTTGTTTTAAACTTGTCCATGTGTCCATATCTTGAAAAGTAATCAGATCCCTATGTTTTATCTGCAATAACATAAAGGGAAAAAGTCTAATTGCAAGTAATATCTATAGCATTATGGTGTTTAAAGCATTAAAAAAATTTAAAACCATATAAATCTGTATATGTTTTAATTAGCACTTTAAAAAGAATTAGAAGGTACACAGCAAACTTAATGTTGGTTACTCTGGTGAAATGAGACTCAAAAGAGGGTGATACTCTTTTGGAATTTTTTAAAGTCTTTTTGGAAATTTCACATTTTTTCTCAACTTTTTGTTCAGCAATTCCACAGTATCAAGCTACCTCCACCTCTTTACTAAAAAGTGTTGGATGTGGAGAAAGAGGACTTTGTTTTGAATCTTGGCTCAGCCACTAAATGGTTTCTTTATGCAGAGCACTTAAAATCTTACATTTCAATTTTCACTATTTGTAAATGGGGATTAAAAGACTTCCTTCCCAAACATTGTGAGAATCAAATGAGAAATGGAAAGCATTTAAAAAAATGAATTATTTTTCAGATATGAGATGTTACAAATGCTGGGCAATATGCATCAGGAATAATATCTTCAGAATAATAAAACACAGCTTCTTAAAATGGAGTATGTATTCAAGGTGCTACACTTACTTGTGGGTGCGTGTTTCCATCATGCATATCTTTGTCTTAAGAATGGCACCGTGTGATGCATCACATATATTTACACAGATCTTGAAGGATGAGCCATTAACCCTGTAAAAAGGAACTGGTATGTCTCTAGCATAGCTGGTGATAATGGCCAAGAGGAGGAATCAGTCACAAGATTATTGGCAGGGGACCACGTGCAACACCACAGTCTAGATCTGCATACTAAGCGTGATTAGGGGAGTCTTCTAGCAGAAGTCGGTTGACAACTTGTAATTCTGGAAACAAGAGGAGACCAAGGGTATGAGGGCCCTACTGAGAATGGCTTCAGATAGCAGAGAGTGAGCACCTGCTTCAGCACCACGCAGGTGGATAGTACCAGAGCCGGTACCTTACATTTACCTGGGGAACGGAGAAGCGGGTTAGCGAGGACAGGTGAGTAGGGACAGGACTGTTTGGTAGTTTTAGTTTACCCAGGTTAGTATTACCTTTCTTTAGAAATTGCATCATCTCGAAAGTGATTTGTTTTCCTACATTTTTCTACAAAAGTAAGTCAATTAAGTCTCATTTCAGAACTGTTTGCAATATTCCCTACACTACACTTGGAATAACATTAAATTCTGTAGGGCTGCAGAATTTTGTGTGATCGTTCACTTCTCTGACATTGGATAGATTTGCTGCCTGCACCATACTGAAATTAAATCTTATCCCTTAAAAAAACTGATATATATTCTTTTATTTAATATAATTTGGTTCCCCAGTAAAACTATGCAGCAGGAGCTTTGCTTCTTCAGATCACCCAATAATGTCTACCACAGTGCCTTCTACAAAGAGACTCTTCAAATATTTGCTGGTTTAACCAAGTCGCTTAGACTTCCCTTGAAGGGAGAAAGGGAGACTAGAGGGAATGGCTTGAAAATGTACCTGGCAGCTAAGGAAGTTTGTGTGGTGGTTAAGCCCAAAAGCACTACAATCAGACTTGTTAAAATCCCTGTTCTACCACTTTGCCAGCTGTGGGACACTGAGTAAGTTTCACAACCTCTTGGAAATGGTATTCTCATCTGTAAAATGGGTGCAGTAAAGTCGATGCTATGTCTCTGTTAGGGTTGTTGTGAGGATCCAATGAAATGATGCATATTCCAATGCCAAACTCTAATATTAGTCAGTATTATCAAGTGGAAATGCAAATGGTCAATAAACATATGTAATATGAATAAACAGTCTCAACCATTTCTAGTAGAAGAGACAGAGGAATATAAATTAAAACAATAATATCAAACTATTTTTGGCCAATCATCTTGGCAAAATTTTAAAAGACTTAAAATTCACTGTTGGTAAAGATGTAAGCAAATCAGCACTTTTATAAGCTGTTGGAAGCATATCATTGCTATAATATTTTATTAGAAGTTATCTGATGAATTTATTAAAAATTAAATAATATATATGTTAAACCATACGTGTGTGTATATATTGAGTCTTTACACATTAATCAGCAATCCTACTTTAAAAACCCTACCCTTCAGAAAAAAATAAAGCCATCATTACATTGAATATATGTAATATGGCTGTTGTTTATTGTAGCATTGATGATAAAAATCAAGTCAAAGCATTAATTGAATGTTAACCAATAAATAAATGGCTGGATAAATCCTCATATTCCCATGTAAAATATATGCCACTGTTAAAATAATAAACTATGTGTCATTTTGGTAAACACATGCTAAAACTGTTAATGATAAAGTTGGGTGGCCACACAGGGCAAACTGTGGAAGTTTGAGGGCAGGCAGTTTTGTCTGTTTCATTCCTTGCTGTATTCCCAGCTTGAACAGAACATTGCATGGCACATAGTAGGTGCTCCATAAATATTTTTTTAATTGAATTTCTGCCCTTGTTTTAAACTTGTCCATGTGTCCATATCTTGAAAAGTAATCAGATCCCTATGTTTTATCTGCAATAACATAAAGGGAAAAAGTCTAATTGCAAGTAATATCTATAGCATTATGGTGTTTAAAGCATTAAAAAAATTTAAAACCATATAAATCTGTATATGTTTTAATTAGCACTTTAAAAAGAATTAGAAGGTACACAGCAAACTTAATGTTGGTTACTCTGGTGAAATGAGACTCAAAAGAGGGTGATACTCTTTTGGAATTTTTTAAAGTCTTTTTGGAAATTTCACATTTTTTCTCAACTTTTTGTTCAGCAATTCCACAGTATCAAGCTACCTCCACCTCTTTACTAAAAAGTGTTGGATGTGGAGAAAGAGGACTTTGTTTTGAATCTTGGCTCAGCCACTAAATGGTTTCTTTATGCAGAGCACTTAAAATCTTACATTTCAATTTTCACTATTTGTAAATGGGGATTAAAAGACTTCTTCCCAAACATTGTGAGAATCAAATGAGAAATGGAAAGCATTTAAAAAAATGAATTATTTTTCAGATATGAGATG